ATGGAGATTAGGCTAGACCCAAACTCAAATTTGCAAAGGAAAGCTCAGTGTATAAATATTTTTTCAAAGCACAGTGAGACCACCCATCTACTTACAATTTGGCCTTGTTTAAGATTAGTCAAAATGAACCCATTTGCTTTTTATAGCTTTTCCTTGGGAAGGGCTCATAGAAGGGATAGACCACCCTTGGTTTGCACCCTAGCCCCTGAAACGATTTCTCTCAAGTGCATCCTGAAAAAGGATAACTACCAAAGTTTGACAGCAAAACACTACCTAGTACCATAATGACTTACCCACTTTGGACAGGAAACAAGAAAGAAAGAACAGCACTGATTAATAAGCTTAGAATACACATAGGGTACGTGTTGGTGTATAGTATTTTTACTGTATTATATTACATTGGATTTAGTTTGTGCCAATTACGGCAAAAATATTTGGCGTCTAAGCTTCATCTTTTATGTCATACCAAACCCTAACAAAATTCTGCCAAGTAAAAGCAAATAAAAATTATTTGACAGAAACACTAGAAAGTGGTTTATATTTCAAAATAGTTAGTCAAGCTGGCCGCAGGGAAGCGGAACAGAATCAGTTACATTGCTTCTCTTCTTCCCACTGCGTTCCCTGGAGTCTTATCCTCAAAGGAACAAATACAATGGATAGTAGAAATCTTAGGAGTTTTCATTCAGGTATATCAAATAAAATATCTGTTATGATGGGAGACTAGTGGAAAAAAACTAGGCTATGGAAGAAGAACACACAACTGAAAGGAATGACTTGCAGCTGGAATACAGTCTCTTTTATGTCTTTATTCAGCATTTCAGTTCTTTTTATTCCAATTATCAAATAGGTATGAACAGCAGGAAGCCTTGATTAAAGCAGCACATATATGCCAAGGACTGATTATATCTAATTACATTCCCCAAACAATGAAAGACTAACGCATAAACATTGTACAGAAGTTGTATGGATTTTATTGTAGCTGAGAAACATCAAAGGCTGCTTTCTATTAAAAAACAGCCATGTTGTCAAAGCTGGGGACATTCTCCACATCTGCTCTTTTCTTTTTATGATAACCCCGCTTTCTTTTTGCTTTCTAACCTATCGAGGTATAAAATATAGACTCTGTTTTTGATCACATTTTTCTTGTTTGATAAATAGCTTTTTAAAATATTTGCTACAAACAAAATGCCCATGCAACTGATTATATATATATATATATATATATATATGTGTGTGTGTGTGTGTGTGTGTGTGTGTGTGTGTGTGTATATATAATCACGCTCTATATAATATATATGCTTGTAAAACACAATAAATATATATATATATTAAATACAGCAATATATGTACACTTTAATGTTTACAGTTAAAAATAAAGAGCAAGATGTCATTCTAGAACCAGATCAAATAGAGAATTAAAATCAATCATGGAAATGCTATTTTAAGAAGATTTATAGGGCTAAGTACCTCTCTGTCTTTGTCATCTTCAGTGCTCTTTATAGAGAAGCAGAGCAGAATGATAGAAAACTAAATCTCCCTAGGATAAAATGAAATAACAAAATGTTTCCAGTAGGCTTCTATCCTTTTATTTTTTAAAATTAATATGAAAAACTGTAAACCAGGATTGTTCAGATGGAGACCAACAGTGCAGCAAAAGCAATGAAGAACTTTTAATGGTCTATAGCAGCCATCTGGTGTGTTCCAGCTGTATTAGATCCACAACTGCAAAATTGCAGAGCCAACATTAACTGGGATAATGGACACAGTAGTTTCAATGTATCTCAAGAACATGACATTGTCTATTATCAAGTACATGGAGTATCAAATATCAACCAATAACAATGACACTTCTCCAATGCATTTTGCTCTTTTAAATTTATTTTTCTATCCATTATTTGATACTGTGTGTGTAAACCTTTGAACAGTGATGATAATTTAAAGAAAACGATGCCATTACATTCTAATTTTCTTTTAGTGCAAACATATACCTACCCACCCACCTGATATTTCAATTGTAGTCAAACGTTTTAGCTCTAGGAGCAAAGGAAAAGTAAGGGTTAGGATTATATTACCGACCCTTGTAGAGATCCTTTATTAAAAGATGCTCTGTAAGTCCATATATAGACACAAGTGAAACACCTTAGCAGACAGCAGAGATCACTCATGATGCTGTTGGAATATCCCAATAACAGATGCTCCTTTAAATACCCCCCCAAACATTAAGCTAGATAAGGCAAGCTCAAGTACATATGAGTTCCATGACAGAACAGGATTCCTCTGTTTCTACTATTTTTCCTCTGACTTTATACAAAATGGGCTCTACCCAGTTCCTGACGTTAATGCAGTTCCCTCCGTTTATACATGCAAGGTGCTAAATTAAGCCCTACCAACTGAGTATAATCCAGTTTTTCATAAATCTTTAGTTCCTGATTTTGGGCAATTTATTAACTTCCAGTGAAGATCACTTGTCAAAAAAATGCAAATTAAGATATAAAGGAAGAGTGAGAAATTTGTGGCTTGTGGCCAGATTCAGTTCCCACAGTGTTGCCAGGAAAATTATTTTCATCAGTGCAATTTGTCCTTTAATGCAATACCCTCCTAAAATACATATTTAAACCCTCCCAACCTTTCCTTTCAATTACATAGTAAAAAAAAAGAATCGGTCCCTTCCTCACTGGCAATACCATCACTTTATAAATAATGTCCTGTGGGCCTTCAACAACCCCCATCCCAAAATTTGATACATTTCCCACCGGAAGTGTATATTGCCATTTTAAGCCAGTGCAACTTTCAGGATTCTTAATAGTAAATATTTTTGGGAGGATGGTGATATTGCAAACAAACGGGGGCTTTTTTAAGAGGATTACTGATTAAATTTATTCAGGAGTATTTGCAACTGGCACCCCAGAGCTGAGCATAAACAAGGTATATATGGAAGAAAGCACTTTTTTTCTCTTCACAACTTTGTAAAAACCATCAAAAGACAAGATGACTCTTCTCCAGGATGAGACTTGGCACTGCTATTTCTAAAAACAAATTACCATAAAGAGATGTAAGCAAAATAACACCTATAGTGGTTATCATAATTTCAAAATCTCTCTTCAGGAAATCAATTAACCTATACTCTACTACTTAGGGGAGAGAGAAAAAAAAATACAGGACTGCCAATAAGCAAGGAGGGGGAAGATTATCAGATCAAACCTACCATCTGGGACTGTCATGGGCTCAGTTCACCCATTAAAGACAATTCCCGAATTTTGCTTTTGATTTAGGGTTGTAGGTAGTTATGCATCAAATGGCTTTTTTTTTTAGTCTAGTGAGCTCTGGCAACTTTTGCTACAAGGAAATATGCATCAATTTCTGCAGGATAATTTCAGTTCTAGGGGTCAAGTAATATGAAACCCACAGTCCCAAGTAATACCTCCAATATTTATTTGAATTTTTGAAAGTGAAAGAAAAGAAACATTAATAGTTCACTGAGATGTGAGTTTTCATCATGAAGATCCCAGAGAATGATCTGTTTGGGGAGCAACATGACAAAAGGTTCACCTGTTGTCATTATGATATGGACTGGACACTCAAACAATACTGCAATAAAACAATCAGGCACACCAATTATCATCACAGAGAATGCTTCCACAACAAGAACAAACTGTCCAACTCAAATGTACAAAAATGATCAGTCGCCACATCTCACCTCACCTTTAGTTAAATCATTTTTTTCTCTAAGCTGGGGCTTTCCTTACTGGGGAGGCATCAGGTTTTGCCTAACACACATGAGGTTTGGCTCACAGCTGTTTTGCTGATTACCTCCCTCTGTTCCCCTGGTTCGAGACTTAAAAGATATATTTTCAAATTAGGAACAACTGGTAATCATGTAATTGCTTGAAAACTAAGTAACGTATTACAGCATATCATTCTGCAACTAAATCCACTTTGTCAGACTACTTCATGCCTCTAACAAAAGAAGGCCCAGTCCATGAAAATTTGTGCTAAAGTAAACATTTTAAAATATCATAGGGGTCATGCTTGGTCTGAAACAAAGCAAAAAATATCACCCTGGAATTTACCCAAAATCAAAGCTCATCAAACATTATGGTAGCTATCCTAAAAACTATTTTTTGCTCAATCCTATTTTTATATAGATTTTTGTGCTTTGAATCAAAGCTTACTGAGCCCGTGATCCTGGAACCTGAAGTGGAACATGCTATGAATTTGGAGCAATATCAATTGGGGGGAGGGGGGAAACCTACTTGTTCAAAGTTATATTCCATAGAAAAGGAAAAATAATATTATTTATATTAGCTATGAAAACCAATCTGCCAGGTTTTTTTTGACATCAGATAACATTCACGCCAAATGTTCTTATTGTATAATTTAACTCAGGCATGTTAAACTCGCGATGTCACGGAGCTTTTTTGCCATTGCCGACAATGGGGTGGGCGGAGCTCCGGTATGATGAAACCGGCCCACGGACCGGCAGTTTGACACCCCTGATTTAACTAATGCAATGGGTTGTTGAACCAACTAAGAACAGAGTAGCATGCTTTTATCAGTGGAGCTCTTAAAAGCTGTGGGTAAGTCTGTGCAATCTACATAGGCTTTTGATTCAAGCATCTTTATGGCCTGTTTTATTTTATTTATTTATTTATTTATTGTAACGCCCAACTGGACCTTCCTGAATCTTTTCTTTTAAAACAATAAACACAATTCAATCAGCCATACTCCAACAGCTTGCAAACTGAATATAATTTACCTTCCTATTATTTGGTAAAAAGCTAACGCACATTATTCCTTCATAAGGATCTGCAACTACCATGTGCTACGGATATTTCAAATGCATCTACTATTTCAGCACCAACTAGGCAATGTGGTTTTAGGAACAAATATTGTTTCCTTAAACTGTTTCCCTTACCCAGGCCTGAGATGTGTAGTTATGTTTCTGTCAGGAAAAATCTGAATTGATTCACTTCCTTTCCCTCCCACCCATCCCCCCCCCAGACAAGACAAAAATCTAGCAGTACAGAGACATCCTGCTCCGCCGCATGGCTTCACTGATCAAGTAAGCAGGACTCAGTTCTGGTTCTTCAGTCATAATCACAATGTTCTGCCATTCACCTAGCTGATTGGACCTCTTAATGGTGTCCACCACACACAAAGCATAGAGACAATCATCAAAAGTTGCAGCCATTGTGAGTGGCCGGCCGTCCCAGGTTCGTCTGTCATCTTGATCTTCAAATGCCTCCCTGACTGCTTGTACCATCTTTATGGTACCCCGGAGGTACGGAGATGGGATGTCACTGAAGGCCTTCTCAGGTAACAAGGCATTGCTGACTGGGGCAGAATCCTTCAAGAGGAGCTCTTTCTGTGGGGAGTTATTGCTTTGTCCATACAAATCAGTGCCGACTGCAGTTAGCCGCCCGCTTGATCCAATCACAACAATATCTTGTTTAAATTCACCTGGCATGTTGAAATTAAGGGTAACAGTGCAGCACACCCCACCTTCTAAAACCATCTGAAACGTGCAGAAGTCATCACTCGTAATTTGCCGTATTCCTTTAATGTGGTCTGTCTGTTTCACAAAGGTCTTAAGAAGTCCATGAACTTTCACTGCTTTCTGACTGGTGAGGAAAGTCAGGAGGTCAATGATGTAGGTACCAACAGAATGCAACCCTCCACCTCCCATCAGATCATCACAGCTCCAGTTATATTTCTTCCCCAGCAGGCTCCCACTGTGAACCTGTACCTCACACACAAGCAGTTCTCCCACATAGCCCTCTTGGATCAGCTGCTTCATCTTCACAAAGGCAGGCAGGAAACGGAGAACGTTGCCCATGATGCTCATAAGCTTGGGATAATAGTGGGCAGCTGTCATCATCCGAAAGGCATCCAGCGGAGTGGCTGTTCTATCACAAATGACATTCTTCCCGATCCCTGTTAGATATTAAAGAAAAGAAAAATATAGGTGAGTTTAGGATATGCTTGGTACAAAGTACAATTGTAGAAATCAAGGAAAGCCAGAAAGAAAAAAAATAATTTTAAAAACAAATTTCAGACGGGCAAGACAAACCTCCTCCCCCTTTTTGCTTCACTTAAACAATTAAGACGAATTTGAAGGGTCTCGGCTAGCAAAAGCTACAAATTCAGTCTGAAGAAGGGAAATTCTTTTGCAAACGTTATCCTACATTGATGCTTGCAACTCTTCACTTTATATTTAAATTCTCTTTAAATGTTATGTTAACATATAATGTCTCATATTCAGCTGCATCATTTATAAAGGAAATCTGAGCTTAACAGAATTGCTTCCATTTGCCACCTTTCTGGTCTAAAATTATATCTGCTTATACTAGATTATAAACTAAAAATGACAAAGCAATACTATTGAAAATTTTGAGATTGTTGTATGTAGTGAGTTATCTCAAGGAAAACAGTTCAAGTTTTTTTTATTCTTTATTTGCCCATTGTGAATTACTTATTATGTTGTTGTTAGTTGCGAAGTTGTGTCCGACCCATCACGACCCTATGGACAACGTTCCTCCAGGCCTTCCTGTCCTCTACCATCTTCTGGAGTCCATTTAAGCTCACGCCTACTGCTTCAGTGACTCCAAATACAAATGGATTATTATACTTCCATAGATTTATCATTATAATAATTTGTTCCCTGACAGTGGCTAAATTCATACATGATGCTAATGGATCCCTGAAGATAAGAATTATAATTTACATGAAGCCGCTGGATGAGATCATCAGACAGCACGGGGTGAGGTTTCATCAGTATGCTGATGATACCCAGCTATATATCTCCTCCCCGAGCTCTCTCAGTGAAGCGGCTGATGTGATGGGCCATTGCCTTGAAGCCGTGAGGGTCTGGATGGGGGTTAACAGACTTCAGGCTCAATCCTGACAAGACCGAGTGGCTTTGGATGTTGCCTCCCAAGGATCATGTTAACTGTCCAGTGTTGACTCTAGCAGGGGAAAACATACCCCCTTCGGAGCGGGTTCGCAACTTGGGTGTCCTCCTTGATCCACAGCTGAATTTGGAACATCATTTGACGGCTGTGGCTGGGAGGACCTTTGCAGAAGTTCGTCTGTTGCACCAGTTGTGACCCTACCTGGACCAGGAGGCTCTCCTTATATCACTCATGCCCTTGTCACCTCACGTCTGGACTACTGCAATGCGCTCTACATGGGGCTACCCTTGAAAAGTATTCAGAGACTACAGTTGGTCCAGAATGCAGCCGCGCGAGTGATAGTGGGTGCTCCTCGGTACACCCACGTTACACCTATCCTCCGTGAGCTGCACTGGTTGCCTATTGGTCTCCGGGTCCAATTCAAGGTGTTGGTTATTACCTTTAAAGCTCTATATGGCTCAGGGCCAGGCTATTTGCAAGACCGCCTATTACCTCATAGTTCCCTTTGTCCGGTTAGATCCCACAGGCTGGGCCTCCTTCAGGTCCCGTCGGCCAAGCAGTGCCATTTGGCGGGGCCGCGGGGGAGGGCTTTCTCTGTGATGGCGCCCACGTCTTGGAATCAGCTCCCCCCCAGAGATTAGGACCGCTCCCACCCTGTTGGTTTTCCGCAAGCTGCTTAAGACCTGGCTTTTCCGGCAGGCCTGGGGTTTATAAAATCTGACCCCTGGATGACTGTTATTGTATTGTTTGTTTTGTCATGTTATATGGTGTTTTTATTGTTAGCCGCCTGGAGTCCTGCGGGAGTGGAGCGGTTTATAAATTTTAAAAATAAAATAAAAATAAATAAATTTGCAAGCTGTATTTATGGATTATTTATGGACTTCCAACTAACTCAGGACTTTATAGTAGCATGCTAAGGATTGTTATCCAAAAAACGAATGGGGTCAGGATAAACACATTTGGTTTAACTTAATTACATCAACATTTAAGATTAAGAGGTGATTACTTCCCAGGTACTTAATTTTCCCCTTGTATCCTTTTAAAATTTACAATTTGGTGATCAGCATATTTGGGGAAGCTTTGGGAGCGGCATCCAAAACTTTTGGCACAGCTGCACTATTTCTGACCATGCTTATACTGAATTACAACTCTCAACAGTCTCAATCAGTGTGGACAATAACAAAGGATGAAAGTTGCAATTCAGCAACATCTGAAAGGTCACATGTTATGCACCCATATTAGCCCTTAAGCCTCACTTGTGCATCCCTAGCCTATATAAGTTGATTTCATTGTCGGATATTACGTAGTGGAACTGACAGCCACTGTAGTTGGGTGAACAGGAACAACAGAACTAAATCTAAAGGTTTGTGAATAATAGAGTGTAATATGGTTTCACAAATGAAACCCACATGAAGTCCTAGTGCAGCCCTCTTCCTCTTCAGACCTTCCAACTGGGTTCAGTTCCACCTCTCAAATTCCCTATCACCATTGAAGCTAGTTCCTAAAAGTTGCTGCAGGGCTGCTGCCAGCCCCTGCTAGGAGGTTTCTGCCATGGAATTGCGCAGCAGTAGCAGTCTTTGTCCTCATCCAGAAAAGAACATAAGATAGTCAGGAAAAACAGGAATATCATGAGGTGAATGAAATAATATACAGAACACACCAAAGAAAAAGGGGGGAGGGAAACTCCCCCTTTATACTTACAGCAACCAATCGTAGCGTAGCTTGCCTCATGCAGGAGCCAACGCTCTCCAACCAAACAACTACAATTGTGTGTTCTGGCCTATTGTACACTATACTCTTCCAGCTATTAAATTCAATATCCTGACAGTTTCTAAAAGGGAACTTCAGAAATTCAGCTGGATCTCATCTGTTTTTCTTAAAATCCACTGGTTTCCCAAATTTAAGGAAGACACATTTGGCATCATACGACAAACACAGTGCTGCCACTTTCACTTTAAACAGTGACAGAGCTGAGGAGACAAATGACAGAGCCTAGAAGAATAAGCAAAAACCACATGCCATTACAGATAAATGCCTCAATTTGCAAGCATAGAATGTTGCTCTCCAGCCTCTTGGCTTTGTGAGAAACATTTTTCAGCATTTCAAGGGGGCTGAACTGCACCACCCATTCGATTAACAAATGACTACTCAAGCTGAGTCACAGCAGACGCTCATCTCATGCTTTGTTGCACTGTGTAATCATGCATATATTTAGGAAGTTTAGCTATCACTCTTAAAGTAACTGCAGATCTCGAGGAATGGACTCAGCAGAATTGTGATATTTGTATTCTCCCGTTTTTGATGGGGAGAAGGCCGCTGCTTATGTAGCAAAAATGTCTATGTCCAAGAGAGAAATACCAGCAGACTTGGAAGACACCAAGATGTCTGAATACGACATAATCTTTATTATAATCTCATATCTGGGGATGAGGAAGAGCCCATTAAGAGCAGAGCATGCTCAAAAGCAGGGAGTGCTAACATACAACTGGGACGGGGTTGAGTTGACTCATAAAATAAAAGCAGGTTTGGAACAGAATAGCGGGAATGTCAGAGGCACTTCCTATTGCAACATTTGGTTACTGGCATGAATGGAAGCTTCATACAAAGGATCGAATTTCATACATGTTTAAAATGTGTCTTTGTATCTAAACACACAAATGTTTGAAAACGCAAACAGAATCAACTTGAAGAAACTAATTACTGTGAAAAGAGCAAGTGGAGAAAGTACATTTATGGGGTTTTTTTCCCTAGCTGAAGTTCAGAAAAGAATCTCACCTCTGAAGCTGGTATTTACTTGTCTGAGAAGAAAATTCTCCATTAGTGGCTGAATTCTACCACAACGGGTGGGATGGTGATACAGACAATTCACAGAAATACAGAGCAAGCAAGGCTAGTGGATTTTTTGTTTTTGTTTTGTATTTTATAGAAAAAATATTATTTAGTCAGAAGAAAGGGGAAAAGTCTAAAATTCGTCTTAACATTCCTCTGTCATCACCTCAGAACAAAGTTAAGAGTTGTTGTTGTTTTTAACCAATGCTATCTTCTTTCACATCAGTTCCTTTGGTTGTGCTATCCTACCCAAGTATTGGTTACTCTACAGCAGGAAGAAATACTCTTAATACTGCCATCTAGTGGTCCCAATTTTTTTGAAGCCCAATCATGGTATGGTTACACCAGTGTTTCTCAACCTTGACAATTTTAAGGCATGTGGATTTCAACTCCCAGAATTCCACAGCCAGCATTGCTGGCTGTGGAATTCTGGGAGTTGAAGTCCATATGCCTTAAAATTGTCAGGATTGAGAAACACTGGGTTACACAGTGCAGTACAGTGCAGTACAATACAATCCTGCTTATAAGGAAGTATGCAGTTAACCTTTTACTTGTATTAGTAGAATGTAAGTAATAAAATATTTTATCACAAACATATCTTTGTTTATTTAGCTTTTGTTGGAAAGTATTCTTTGGACATGCTTCAGCCTCCCTCCACTCAATCTTCCTTGGAAGTGGCTGGGTCATTGATGTCTCAGAGTGAGACATTTTTACAACTGCTAAACAAATTTTGCTCAGAAAATAACTGTAGTATTGTACCCTCTATCCACTATACCCATGCATGTGGTATTAGCATTTCAATTGGAATCAAAATTAAAAGTGGATCTGAATCCTTTTCACGAGATAACAAATACCCTTGTGCTGGATTTTGAAGGGATAACTGATATTCTGGTCTTTCTGAACTACTGGAAAATCAGCACTCCACGTCTTATGGCTGTCAGCTGCTTCCTGAATCAGAGTGCCTGACATAGGAAAAATGCTATTAGAAAGCAGGCTACATAATTTGCTGCCTCACGTGAATCTTCTCAGCCTTGTTATATATGCAAGACCATCAGACTGTAATCTAGTGATAAATAACAATCAATATCGTTATAGCGAATAAAAATTAGGACTTATATTGTAAGTAATCCATGAACACATTTGCCTAATACATTTGAATAATATTTGGGGATGTTTGGGGAAACATCAGGCAAT